TGGAGCAGCTGAGTAGCTGCTTTGGTTATGTGATCTGCTTCCTGTATATAAGAAAGAGCTTTGGGAATGGTCTCTAGTTTTATGGCACACTTGAACTCTGCAGGTAGCCATGTTGTTCAACAGCCTGCATGATCTGCTGACCTTGGGACTTTCAATGGACTTGAATTAATGGCCTGCTGTGTGGTTTGGCAACATCAGGACTGTGCCTTTTTACTTGTCAACCTTAGGCTTGTCAGCCTCAGCAACCAGCAGCTGTCTGAGTAAAGAAAAGCCTCTAGCTTCGGGGGGCGGGAGGGGAGGGCGGGAGCAGGAGGCAGAGCTGAAGCCCAAGGTGGAGGGCCTTCCACCCAGCCCCTAGAGCCTGGCACTCTGAACTTGTACTTAAAGCCTCCATACTGTAAGAAAATAAATTCCTGTTTGTTCAAGCCATCCCATTTGTGGTATATTCTTGTCAGAGTGGCACTAGGTAACCAAAACATCATGTAAATCTAATTTTCTTCAAAGCAGTCCATTTTTCTCTTGTTTCAACTCTGCCAGTCATCAGGTTCTTACATGTAAAGCCACATTCTGCATTTGGGACAGACCCTTTTGCTCACTACTGTTTGCACAGAATGGAGAGGGCTTGTCTACATGAGCACTAACCAGAAAGTTTCAGAACTCTGCTCACTGGTAACTATTGGTAACTAGCAACTACTCCTTTCTCAGAAGAAAAGCTAGAAGTGGAGAGGTCAGGTGGGCAGAGGTAGTTCCTATCTCTTATGAAAAAGAAGAAAATGATCATTGAAAGAGGTAACATATAAAGAGGACAGGAGAAGCATGGTTAACAACACATGGTGATGTAATCAGCAAAATTCAGACTGGAAACTTTGCATAGCAAAGAACTGAATCCTTTAACAAATAAAGGTAATCAAAGGATACCCTTTAGATTAAGAGATAACACATTTTTAAAAAGGTAAAATTCAACTATAATGTTTAAGGACGCCCACTTAAATGATAAAATTATAAATAAAACAAAGAAGTGATTATTATGAAAATTAGGGTGGTAGCATAGTGTCTAAGGCACTTGACTGCTAACCAGAAGGATGGCAGTTCAAACCCACCAGCCATTCTTCAGAAGGAAGGTGAGGCAATCTACTTCCCTAGTGATACCGCCTCAGAAACCCAAGGAGGGGTCACTATGAGTTGGGTCCTACTCAATGGCACATAACAACAATAACAACAAGAACAACTGGTTATTTTTAGGAGAGGATGGAATTGTTATTGGGAGGTAGCTAGAAGGTGTTTAGTAAGTTTCTATTTCTTGGATTTGGAAGTACTTTTAAGCTACAATAATTAAGAATCATATTTGTTTTATGCAATTTTCTGTGTCTATGCTACACTTTAAGATTAAAAGGGCTTTTAAAAGAAGTACTAAGCTGACTTTAGAAAGAGGTGGTACAATTTATCTGAGGAGAAAGAAATTGTTCATCCTACCCAAACATCCTTTTACTTGGTGCTGCCTTTTTCCTCAGTCATATTTTTTTCATTTCTTAAATTCAATTCATTGTCACAATATGGGATTCTAGTTTATATATATAATCATAATAGCATTACCATTACATCAATTAATTAACCAATACTTATTGAAGACTTATCTTTTTTGAGACCTAATTCCATGAGGCAGGAGGCAAGGCATATGGAGTATGTTTAATGTGGCTTCCCATTCATGTATTTTTCAATAGACAAATTTCAGGGCCAAGTTGGAGAAGTGATTTACCAGGGAAGAGATAACATGCTACTAGATGTGAAGGAAGTGGGAAACTCAGTGTCCAAGGGTTTCAATCATCAGAGCACAAACTGGAAAAGATAGAATAGTTGGAAAGGCAGAACCAGGGTAATAAGGTTTGAATTACTGACCTTCTGGTTAGCATTCCAGTGCTTTAACCACTGTCCCAACAGAAATCTTCAATATATTATACCTATGATAAACAAATGGAATCTGGGTCAGTTTAAGTTCTCTAATGGACATTTGACAATTGGCTGAACCTTAAAGTTGGAGTGCCAAGTCAAACAAATCTATTTTGCATTTCTAACTGTGCTACCAGAGCTCCTATATATATATATATATATA